TTTTCTCCCTCATCTGTTTCAATGCAGTATACATCACTGAACTCATCTTTCTGAGTCTCCCTCCAACCCCAAAGTCAGAACCGTTTTACAACAGTGGCACCATGCAGTATTTGTCCTTCTGTGACTGAGGTACTTCATTCGGCATAATGTCCTCCAGGATTACCCATTTTGAATAATATTGCATAAGTTCCTTGTTACTGAATGCAGCATAATACCCCATTGTGTGAATATATCAGAGCTTCTCTATCCATTCGTGTGTTGATGAGTGCTTACGTTGTCTCCAACTCCTTGATATTGTGAACAAAGTCCCAATAAACATGGGTGTCCACAAAATCCACAACCCGCATGTCCACAACTAAAACAGAACCACCATGCCCATTCCCTTCCTGACCGGAACCCACAGCAGCTGTTGGACCACAACACACACCACACATCATCCGGTCAGTTTCTAAAACTTTTTTAAAATGGTCAAAATTGTAAAATACATAAAAAGCTCAAGATTTCATGAATATAGTGTCCTAATTAGAGAAGTAGCTCGAGCAAAGGTGACCCACCATGGGGTTTCTCAAAGACACCGGCATGATCACTGTGGAATCGGGGTCCCCCGGGGACCTGCACCCTGAGTTACCAGGTAACGAGGCCCTTCACTGCCGTGAGACACAAACACCACGACAGGATCGAGTCAACGCTGTTTCCTGGGTCTTTAACAACTGGAAGGTAAAACTGGCTAAAGAAAATTAAACAAGAACAAACTACCTCTTCCTAGTCAAAGCTGTTATCAGAGGCCCCAAATCCACCTGAAGCCCTTTTTCAGACAGCTGTCGACTCAGGAAGATGAGTGGCCCCAAAAGTTCTTCCTTATGCCCCCAAACACCTGTTTGCACTCTGGCTACGACGGACACTGGCCAAGAGAACCTGAGACCCCAATGAAACCTTGTCAGCACTCAAGACAGTTCAAATGTAGCTGCTAAAATGTGAGAAAAAAAGACAAGAGTCTGCTTCCACGGCGAATTGACCTGGAAACTCCACTGGACACGTTGACGGGCCTAGTCACTTGGAATACACTTGAT